GTTTGGGTCTGAGCTGTCCCGAGCTCCTGGGAAAAGCAGGCAAGGGAGGAAAACAAGCTGGGCAATGCCCGCCCTGACCACAATGACTTCATTGTGGACATTGCAACCGCGCGAATGTGGAAACGGTTTGATGACATCTTCCGCGGAAGCGGCAAAGCCAAGGCAAACGGGTTCCGACGTGTCTAAACGGTTTGCTATTGCTTCCACGCTGCGAGGACGATAACGAAGGGCGATCAAGACGTCAGGGAGGCAATCTTCGTTTCAGAAGACGAGCCGCGGGTGTGGCTCGCTGATTAATGACGCCGAAACGGTCATCTGAGAAGTGATTCACGCCCGTTTGTCTGAGACGGTGATGGCCAATCGGTTGACGAATTCATGTCCTCATCAGATGGCCAGCCACGTGCCGACGTCAGCCTTGTGCTGTTTCTTGTCCACCTCCTTGTGCGAGCGTGTGTGAAGGCATGCTGGTCAATCAGTAGAATGACGTCAAGTGTCATTTTGCATGGTGTGGAAGGTGCCTTGCGACTCGGGGCAGCTGCAGTAATGCAGCACTAGGGGGAGCTGAGAGAGCGCTGTTAACCAAGGGGGGCGTTCCAACTGGCGACGATCATTTCGCGAAGAGAACGACGAGGTGTTGCATCAATTGGTTGGCTTCTGAACCGCATACTGCACTTCGTCCTTCGTGACATGACGAGGCTTTCCGCCGGCCACCCCGACTGAGGCGGGTATTTGTTTGATGAAGCTCACATTTGAAGCAAAATTAAATCGACAGCATCAAGAGAGCTGAAAGAAAGGCGACTGTCCAACGCGCTGTCATACACAGAGTGTGATTGGTGTTGAAGCCTGGCAGCGAAGCGGATGCCTTCCCCAGAGGTGAGGTCACGCGCATTGGCCAGCCAAGGCAGGCCCAACATGGGTGCAACACGAAGAACCCGGAATTTGCGACCGAGAATCTGAAATCTGAGCATCAACCAGCTACTACTGCAAGGTCAGAGCGGCCAGATTCCCGAGAGGTAATATTCTGCTTCGATTCGCATCGAAGAATGGAGCATAGAGCCCGTGGAATGCTGAGCGAAGCGATGAGAAGAGCCGCTGGCAAGATGTCTCGTGACGGGACGAGATTTGACGACGTTGAGAAGCGGCGAGACACTTGCATCCCGAGGGGTGGCTAGTATCAAAGGGAGTGTGGCTGCCATTGCTGCAGAAAGGGTCCTTGAGGTTCAAGGCAAGGCAGGCATTCAGGGCATCGCCGAGTCGCCGGCGATAGACGCTGGCCAGGATTGATGACGAAAGGGGGTTGGCTCGAGCGGGGCGGGGTCTGGACCGATCCATGAGGCGCTCTCGGCGATTTTGTCTCTGGGATCGGAATGCTGAAAGCGTGTCTGGTGCGTATCTGATCCGAGACCTCAAAGCAGGTGCTTGAAGCTATCGTTAGTGAAGACCACGATGCGATCGATGGTCAGAGGCGGTGGTGGTTGCCAGCTGCAGGTCCGAGGTGAGGGCCTCGGCGGCACAGCGAACGAGGTGAGCCGCACTGGGTCAGTTGGAGAAGCAGTTGGAGAAGGGAAACCTGGATGCTGTGAGGTCACTTTTGGTAGAATTAGGCAAGTAAATGTAGAGCCCGAGCGTACGAGAACGCGACCAAACCAATCGTGACTGAGAAGCAACATAGCTCCCGCGTCGTCGCGTGGATGACGGCGGGATGGACGAGCGAGACATTGTAGTTCTCTCGGGACGGAGATAGGGACGGAGACGTGTCTCCAGATGGTTAGACAACGGCATCGACGGTACCCTTCGGTACATCGTGGTCGTGGCAGTCGGTAGTGAAATGAGAGTGGCGTGCGTGGCTTGCGCATCGTCGCGCATCGTCATTTCGAGGCATGTGGTTAGTCGCGGGGTGTTTCGGCGCGGCAGACTGAAAACACGGGATGATTGGCGGCATCAACCAACAGAACGGAAGCAAGGATGCGGGATGACGGACGGCTGGACGGGCCATGAAGCTGAAGGGAGACATCGGAGTGGATGTTCAGAGGAGTGTGAAGATGAAGACCGAGAATCCCTGCAAGAGCTGGGCATGCAACATGGAATCAAGCCAGGCAAAGCCAGGGCAAATGGGCAACGGCAGAAAAAAGATGGGATGGCCTGGAGAGGGAATGAATCTTGGGCCTGGCCTGCGGCAGCCTAATGGCCTGAGGCAAGAGGACCGGCCCACTATTACCCCCCAATGATGCGGCGTCTTCGTCGATGACATCCTTGCCATTTGCGGACATGACGATGGAGAAGACGTCATTACGGGGGGCCCCCATCCAAGCGAGTGGGAAGGAGCCACTGATCATGGACGGCGGCCAGCAGCCTAAGCTGGGGCTAAGCACCTGAACCTGGCTGCAACCGGCTGCTGGGGACTCAATTCTGGGTGGTGGGTGGGTGGGAGTGGGAGTGGGAGGAGCAGACAAGGCGGCACGAGCAGCAGAAGAAGAAGCATGCGGGCTGCACTGAAAACATGGAAATGGGAGATCGGAAAACATGGGGGAGTGAGGGAAAATAGCACTCTCCAGTCGCCAAATTCCTTTTGCATCGCCAGCGGCCCCTGCCCCTGCGACGTGGTGTTTTGGGAGACGGATTGGAGATGTCGGATATTTGTAGACGACTGCCAGGATCCAGCATCGCTGGCTTTGTCGCTCTATCTGACACTGCCGTCAGAGGCGCCAATACATGATGTCTGCGATGCCCCTTTGCATCCAGTCGACGCTACGGGAGGCTAGCGCCATTGACGCCCCTGATATCCGGCAGTACACGTACCTACCTTTCAAGCTGGCACGAACTGGCATTAGCAGAAGATGGTGGCCTATCCGGGCAGTGCCGCAGTGATGTGTCTTGTGCTGCAGGATTTCATGTTGCCTCGTCTCATGTCTGGCACTCTGGGAGGGAAGTGGAAGTGCTGAAGATGATGCTGAAGTGGTGCAGCAATGTGCCCGTCCCAGGTGTTGGTTTCCGCGGGATGCAAGAAATGCCTAGGAGGTACTCTGTATTGCTGGCATCCGGTTCCAAACCTCCAAAACCCCTTGCTTGCCTGTTGCCTGTACCCTGCCCAACACGCCCAATCCTGGGTCCGTCCCGGCAAGTGACCGAATGGGTCTGGGGTTCGGAGTGACCACCGATGATGGAAGCAATCCGATCATGAAACGCCCGGTTTTTGATGAAAACATCACGGTGCCTTATCTGAGAAGAAAGAAGCTGGGGATGCGGAAGGTGCTGATCAGTCAGCAGCCGAAGGGAAGGAACACCCAGGAGGTACTTTCCTCGTGACCACTTCATGATGAATGAGCAAGAACGGCAGGCACGAGTAGCAGTTGCCACTTACTGCGAGGGAAGAGCGAGAAAAGTACCTGCCTGCACCGACGGGCTCCCGAGTCCCATGCTGCCTTCCATCTTGGAAAGTGCCCAGAAATGCGCCTGCTCCAGCCATTCAAGCGTCCAGAAGAAATGACCCGCTTTGGGGCGACGCTGCAGGTGCAGGTGCAGGCTGGCGCGGATGCAAATGCGCAGCCCACCACACCTGACTGACTGACTGCCTGGCAAGACGAGACGAGACAGCACTGCAAGAAACAGCAGAAAAATACTGAGGCTTGAGGGGGGGAAGGAAGGGAAAGAAGGCCTCCGCCCGCGTCGCCTTCCCAATCGTGAGTGAGGTTCTTGCCGTCGGTTCTTGAGGCTGTCGGTGTCTGTGCACTGACTGAGGCGTTCCTGCTTGACTTGATTGACTGACTGAGGTTGTCGTTGATGTTGCTCCTGCTCCTGCTCTTGCTCCTGCGCCAGCTGCTCTTTCCCCACTGATGCCACTGGCGACTGACTGCCCGGTGCTGCTGTTCCTGCCAAATGAAAGAATGACTGAGACTGACTGAATCCTCGTCTGCTCTTCCCTTTCTTCTCTCACTCCTCCTCTCCCTCTCTTCCTCGCACCCAACTCTCGCGCGCCTTCCAACTTCCATTGCACCTCACTCCCGTCCCGTCGCCTGGCTGCACCTCCCCCCCTCGTCCCTGTACGGATACCTCGACTTGTTCGACCTCCGAACCTGAACCTGAACCTGCACCTTGCACATCTGCACCTGAACTGAACCAGTCCAGTCTCCAGAACCTCACAACCTCCCACACACACCACACCACACAATCGAAATACCTACCCTCACATTCACACCCTCCACGTCTCTCACACACCTCAATCTTACGCTGCCTTCCCACCTCTGTCATCATCGGTCACCTTTACCGAGGACCCAAAATCCAGTCGCTGCGCACCGCACACCGTCATCGCCAGGCTTTGGCCCTTGCCTTGTCTACCTAAACCTTCCACCCCCCCGGTCACAAATTCCCCCTTCCCACCCTGCTTGGTCTCGCTCTCAATTACGCAGCACCGCGCTAAACAACCTTACCTACCTCACCACCAAGGGCAAAAAAATACACGCTACGCTACCGACCTGTCCTTGCACGCACGCCGCCGACGCTACGCCTGCTTTGGCCCAGTTCCAATTCCAGGCGCCGCAGACAAACGTGCTCCAGCCCGCTTCCCGCCCGATCGTCCTGTTCCTCCAACTTCCGTCATCCGAGTCCACGTTGCCCCTCAGCAACATCACCACCACCCAGCCCGCAGTCCACAAATCTCTACTTTTCGCTTCGATTTCTCCCTTTCAGCCGCCCTTTCCCCCCGAACATCAAAGAAACAACCTTGCATTTTTCCCTCTCTCAATACTTTCTCCTGTCCTCCCGAGTCGACTTCCATTCCACAACCACCTGGCTGGTACTGCATGTAGCACATTGCACAGAGCTCCTCTCCTCTCCACGACTCGTACTCGCTCCGCATTACCAATCACAAGAAAGAGACACCCCTCAATCCGGGGCTGCGAGACTGATCACGCTGCCACTCGTTGCGACCTGCGAACACCGATACAACCCCGCGAATACCTTCATATTCCCGTCGCTGCCCATCAGTGACCCCCTCCGCCGACATGTCGACGATACAACAACTCAAGAACTTCATCCGCCACGGTACGATATTCTCCGCTGCCCCTTATTCGTCTCCCCGCCTCTGCTCGCGACCGCTGTTTGGCAACATTAACCCTCAAAATTCCACTCGCTGCTCTCTGATGAAACATGACTGACAATATTTGTAGGCAAGCAAGCCCGCGCAGCGAACAATGACGAGGCGGTAGCAAAGTCACACAACTCCCCTCCACCAAAGGCACACATGGGTATCTCCGAGCCAGCACACGTCGGCGCTCCCCCGGCGGCAGCCGTTCCCGACGCATATTCGGTTGCTGGTGACGGCCAGAACCGCGCCGCTCAAGCCGGCCATGCCGCTGCCCACGCCGTCGAGCCAAACCAGAACAAGGCTAAGTCTAAGAACATCGACAACACGCACCTCGCAAAGATCATCGCCGAAGAGAATGAGAGCAAGAGTAAATTCCCAAGATACCCCGGCCTCGAGAGATGGGAACTGGTAGAGAAGATGGGCGACGGTGCCTTCAGCAATGTCTACCGCGCGAAAGACACAACGGGCGAGCATGGCGGCGAATGCGCCATCAAGGTCGTCCGCAAGTACGAAATGAACAGCATGCAGGTGAGTTGATGCTTGGGTGGTTTTCGGCCGCAGCCATGTTTTTCTTGTTTTTTTGTTTCGTGCATTTGCTTTTCGTACGTTGGTTTTTCCAATCACTCCATACCAACAAAGGCCGATTTAGGGTAACAAGCATCTTCACCCGGACTTCAAGAAAGTCCCCAAAGCCGCAGAGGTGCGAAATTTTTCAATATTTCATTTGTCTACACATCGGGCCATCCTCAATTTCTCTTCGACTCATTTGTTGCTCTGTTCAATGTTCGGAGGATGGCCCTCCATATATACCCTAGACGCCGTTACTGACCTGAGGCCAGAGAGCGAATATCCTGAAAGAGGTTCAGATTATGCGCCAGCTGGACCACCCCAACATCATTAAGCTCATCGATTTCTCCGAATCAAGACAATACTACTACATCATCCTGGAACTGGCACCTGGTGGCGAGCTTTTCCACCAGATCGTTCGACTCACCTACTTCAGCGAGGAGCTTTCAAGGCATGTTATCGTCCAGGTGGCCAAGGCCTTGGAATACTTGCACGAGGAGAGAGGCGTTGTTCACCGGTAAGTAATACTGCGTGATTATTCTGTCGAATTTCGTCCATTGTGCGTGGCTGAATGACGGAATATGACTCCCGTGATGCATTGACGTCATCTCTGTGGCGATTGCTGACAACTCTTCTCGCAGTGACATCAAGCCCGAGAACATTCTGTTCAGCCCGATTCCCATTGTTCCGTCGAAAACCCCGAAGCCTAAGCAGCCTGGTGACGAAGACAAGGTCGACGAGGGCGAGTTCATTCCCGGTGTCGGCGCCGGCGGCATCGGCCAGATCAAGATCGCCGATTTTGGCCTTTCCAAGATCGTCTGGGACAATCAGACAATGACGCCATGTGGAACGGTCGGTTACACAGCTCCCGAGATCGTCAAGGATGAGCGGTACTCCAAGTCTGTCGACATGTGGGCACTGGGCTGTGTTTTGTACACCCTGCTCTGCGGTTTCCCGCCATTCTACGACGAGAGCATCGAGGTCTTGACTGAGAAGGTTGCCAAGGGACAGTACACTTTCCTGTCCCCTTGGTGGGACGACATCTCCAAGTCCGCGCAGGATCTCATCTCCCACCTCTTGACCGTCGACCCCGAGAAGCGATACACCATTACAGAGTTTTTGGCTCATCCGTGGATCAAGGGATCAGGCCCGACACCCCGTGAGGAGAAGAAGGCACAGCCCGAGATGCTTCGTGCGTTCGACGCGTCTAAATTCGCTGATGGTGAACGCCGCTACGACTTCCGATCTCCTGGAGCCGTCAACTTGCGCGAGGTCTTTGATGTTGGTTACGCTGTCCACAGACAAGAGGAGGAGGCCAAGAGGCGCAAGCAGATTGGTGCCAAGGGCGGTGTCCCCGCTCGTTTCCTCAACAACCTTAACGAAGAGTCTGAGGATGAGGATCAGGAGATGCCAGATAAGGACGCGGAATATGTGCACAAGCCTTCGCAGGCTACGCAAGCATTGGAGCAGAGCATGCGCAACGCCCAGATTAAGGATCAACAAGAGCAGCAGCGCGGACGCGAACGCGAACGACAAGCACACCACACCGAGAAGGGTTACGGTCAGCACTCTGCTGCAGTTACCGCCGCAGCTCGCCAGCAGGTCAGGGATCGTAACAGGCAGAAGGGCGCTTTCGAGCTAAACCTCGATGGCGCAACACTGCTTGGTCGCAGAGCCAAGCAGCCCATGGCGGCAAGCGCTGGCGGGGCATAGGAGCCTCGGACTCCCAGTTGCAGTCCGCCGGGGAGCGATCTTATTATTGCGAAACCTCAGCGAGGCGAAGCAGACTTAAAGGGAGGCACAGTATGAACCAATGTGGGTTTTCTGGCGTACAGGTTAAAGGGAATGGCATTCCTTGGTCAAGTGACTTAAGGACTTTAGCGCAACTCATGAGATGGACGTCGTGGATATCCAATTGTGTCGAAGTCGGTTTTGTTTGTCATTTCTTCTTGGGACGGATTAGCTACGACTTCTATCTCCTTTTTTTGCGGCATCATACATAGGCCCGGAGTTTCATTGGCAACGGGAACATAATTCCTCTTTGCATTCAACAATGAAAAAGATTTGCAATTTCAACTCTTCACGTGGTCATGCTACTTCGTACTCACTGAAGTTACTAGTGGTTCCGCCCCTATAATTCGCATCGTACATGATGGAAAGTGACGTTGATTGACATGTATACCTCAACATCAATAGTTCCCTTTACACAAAATTTTGATCACCATTGAGGGCTTATCGATTTAGTCGCCTGAACCATTTACGGTATTGCCGTCACAGGTTAGTAGGCGTGCTTGTGACTTTCGAACCTCACTTTCGACATGTGACTGGTTCTTACTCGGGCTTTTTGGTGGGTGTATCCCAAGGAGAATAGCTGAGCAATGGAACGGCTGAGTGACGAATACCTCTTTCTGGATGATGAGGATTGTTTCGATGCGTATCATCCAGCCTTCTCGGCTGTGCTGGACGCTGCTCAGGCTAGCAAAACTTCATTCCTATCTAGACGAAGTTTTGCTCAGTAAAGAAGCTCAGGATCTGATTTCCAGATATCCTCCAGATAACGAGAACCCTCTGCATATGGCACCAAAGCATCGTCAGCGATCACCACTTGCCCCCCCTTCCAATTGAACAGCGTACGCAACACGCGGTCACGAAGCCAGGCGACCGTGTACTGGCTCCAACGGCAATGGCTGCAACCCACATCGGTAAGATCGCACTCTTCCCTACATCTAATCACAATTACTTCAACAATATCTTCGGTGATGGTGATGGGCCCACTCTGCCTTCCAAGCAGAAATGCATAGATGCCATCCAAAGCAGGGCTTCCATGTAGGTAACGTTCCAGCGCAAAGATTTCCGCCGCACCCTCCCGGCCCAGAGCGGGATTGCACCCCTTCCATGAGAAGAGAACTCTCAACATGTCCAGCACATCATTCAACTCCTCCTCCTCCGTTGTGGCTGTCCAGACATCCTGCCTTGCTGCTGCCCAGACAAGATCCTCCGTAACAGTTATATGGTCCGCCTTGCGCTCGAAAAGGAGTTTAAGCACGAATGAGCCCGTCCCTGGGTTCCCCACAGCCGCTTTGAGCACGTTCTCGGTGATGACGATTTCATCTCTGCGATCAAGGAGAAGGTCCATCATGTAACCGCCGCATTCGTTGTTGGACGCTGCCGCTGCGAGGACGTTCTCGGTAATTTCGATGTGACGCCCTGGCGTGTCGAGCAAGATCTCGAGGGCGTTTGTGTCGTGGAATGATGCGAGGCCCACGAGACTGGCCTCTGTGGTATCGTAGCTGCTTCTGGACACCGCAATCTCGGCCATTTTCTGCACAGCCTTGACCTTTTGGTCGTCTCCGCGCTCATTTCTCTTGCGGTAGATCCAGACGAGATGGTCCATGACTGCAAGTGCGTCGGCGCAGTCTATCTGGGAGGTCTTCTTGAAGACCTCGATTGCAGAATCAAATCGATCGATTGCTTTGGAATAATAGCCCATTTTCGAGTAGAGTAGTCCCACTTCTCTCAGGCGGCCCCCTTCCGATGGCCCTGCGTAGTCAATGGCTCTCTCCTGAAGGAAGTCATCCAACTTTGCTTCAGGGCCGGGTTCACCGCGAGAAGCCTCCCAATCCCATATTAGAAGAAAGTTGACGTCGGATGCTGTTCCATCTGTAGAATGATTCAGGGATTTGAGGGGCTCCGTTCGGCTTCCTGTGTCAGTCTCCTCTTTCACAGCGCTGCCATGTTCAGCGTCACAGCCCTTCTCAGTGCGACTGTTGGCTTGCCCAGTCGACGTTCCATCAGTTACGACCTTACCATCCGTAGCCACCGAATGCTTTGTCTCATTCCTTTTCAGCACGAATTTTCTTTCCCCCCTGTCAAGTTCCTCAAAGCTTGATCTTCTGGATTCAGGCCTGGTCTCTGTCCCAACGCTGTACGTCCTGGGTCTGCTCTCAGACTGTTCAGCAAGAGCTTGATCAACAACCATAGCTATAATGACGCAGTAGTCGTCGTGCACCCTAATGAGCGTCGGCCGGGATGCGCCTTGCAAGAGACAGATGATGTCACCTTCTCCGGCACGCTTTGCCGCGGCCCGGACAGTCCAACGGCCTATCCAGCCGCTCTGAAGTCCAGGCACATCCTGCAACTCGACGATGCTCACGGTCTGAGTATCGTCCCACGGATTTCCGGTTTCCACGGACGATACTGTACCAAGAACGCGTCCCTTTGTCTGGATGAGTGCTGTTTCGCAACCATTCCAAGTAGATACCGAGGCAGCCTCTGGGACGAAGGTTCTGACGAGCCGGCAGAATAGGTCTTTCCACGATATGCGGTAATCAGGCTTCAGTTCGGGATATGTGTCGGTGCTCATTCCCAGGAGGGCGTAAATTTTGTCTCGACGGTCGGTTGCATTACGCGTGTGGTACAGGTCAATCAACTCTCCGAGAGCACGTATGCCCAGAGAAAAGACCCCGGGGGTGTGGAGTGTCTGTTTGGGCCGGAGAGTTGCCGATTTGATGAGATAGATGGCCGAACGAGCACGCGTTTGTGTGGTCCTATCCAATGAACTCAGATCCATTGCACTTAGACCTTGACAAAACGCATGTCCATCCATCTCAGTGAGATGGCACATGATGAGAACATGCCGAGAGGCGGCCACCTCCTGAAGGACCTGACAGGTATTGTTAGTCTTGACCGTTTTGCCCAGGCTTGGGAAGTCGTCTTACCCACATGCGATTGAACCAGTTCCGATTAAGAAGCTTTGCAACTCCTGCGCCGTCTTCCACATTGCCAGAGGTGGCCGTGGGCGCCTCGTTTACAGCAAGACTTATGATCTGGAGCGCCCGGTAGCTTTCGGATTGGGCAACAAGGTCGAGCTGGTTATCGCCAGTTACCTCTTCCAGCCACACGACGACGCCACTTGCTCTGGCGTAGATCTCTGCCATGAGCTGCACTTGGTGGCCCTTTTCATCGGCATCTTTCTGGTTGATGCAGATCGCATCTACCCATATGACGCGTTCAAGAAAAGGGTCCCGAAGACGTGCGAGCGCTGCGTGTAGATTGGCGGTGATCTGTAGATACCCTGTACCGGTGAAGACTTTCTGGCTCTCACTGGGAGGTCCCCAGCAGTAGGACAGAGCCTCGTACAGATGAGTTCCTTTCCTGTCGTCTGTGAGGGGGTAATGGAAGAGCTCGCATTGCAATGGGGCGTCTGCATCTTCGTGAGGCTTCAAGCGCAGTAGACGGATGAACCCGCGCGGCAACGGTTGATAGATGTACGACTGCATGGCAAGTACCCAACCTTGATCTTGTGAATGAGACACCGAAGGAAAAGGGGGTGGAAATCAAGCACAGTGTTGAAGATGTAAGCTGATATTTGTTGGAATGTCGGGTTCAGGTCTTGGCGTCTGCTTAGCCTGATCTAATTTCTTGGTGTTTTGCGGAAACGATCCGCGATTGCCTCCGGGGTTGTCTGCAGGACCAGTCTGACCGGCCAATCACAGCCTTGAGCCCAAGAACGGAATACAGTCTGATGCAGGTTTACGGGGCTGTCTCGGCAATTATTGCCTGAACTTGATACCCAGGACATCACGGAGATCGAGTCATCTATGAATGAAGAAACCCAATTGAAATATGACCAGGTCTTGAGACAGAAGATGAGACACGTGTTGAAAAGTTCCTCGAGTCGGCTGCAATGATGGATTAGCCAGACGGTGTTGGTCTTGGTAGGTTGCGGCAGTGGTCTCGCACATACACGGTACACCGCGATATTTGAGATCAAAGAGACTGGACGTAACCAACCCACGAATCATTTACTCAAGCGAAGTGAGAGCAAAGCGATGTCCAATGAAGTTGAAACCGCCAGCGTTTATAGAGAAAAGCGTGAGTACGTAGAAAAGTGATAGTGCTTTTGTGAATGGCCTCATCAGCGAGAATATTGGAGGCTGATGGACCTTCAAAATGTCCACTCAAACTGATCCGCCAATTCCAGCCACTCCTCCCCAAAAAATGCCTCACCCCCTACCCCGTTCATATTGAAGTCATTATCATACCGCCGCTCAGGGCTTTCTTTGTCCCCCCAATTAAACGACTCCAGCATGCCAGCCAACTTACCACATACCGCTGCCCTCCCATCCTTCTTTTGCGGAGAACACTTCGACGCATCTTTGAGGTTTGAAATTACCTGCCGATACCAACTTGCAAGCTTCTCCACACGCTCTTCGTCATAAACCCGTGTCGTGAGCCGGGATGAGAGTTTGCGCAGCGAGAGGGTAGCATGCATCATCTGGTACAGCTCCGCTAATGTGAAACCCGGATATGCGCTTGGTTGGAAGGGAAGGAAGGCGTTGAAGTAGGATTCGAGGGCCTGATACGTGTTGTATAAATGCTGTGGGTCTGGAGATGAGGGTGAAAGGGCGAATTCCGAGATGGCGAAGGAGGCGTAGGTGAGGTGACATGATGTTACTGTTCCTATGTGTCAGTCGTCGAAGCTCGTATCTGCTTGGAAGGATTCTTACTAGAACTTTCTGCAGGGCAAGGGTCTTCGATGGTGAGCTCATTCAGCTCGCTTTTCAGCACCAAAGCGACGAAGTTCGATGGGGCTTCCGGAGCTGAAGTGTTTGAGTTTGGAGGGGAGTAGAAGGCCTTCTCGAGGACTTTGCGAATCTTGAGCATCGATACAAGTGTGAGATCTCCAGGTACGCCTGTGCTTGACAAGTCGTCTAGACAGGTGCTCATGTAAGGCGTCCAGAGGAGCTTGTCCGTTCGGCGCATGTATGACGACACGCTGGCCCTCATAATATCAGCCAAGTATTTTTACGTCATAGGAAACGGCAAGGAGTGAACTTACATGGAGCTGAGATAATAACACGCAATCACGGCCCTCTGCTCCTCGACTGTGTGGGTGGCAGATAGCCAAGGCCGGTGGATGGTCAACCGTAGCATTGCCTCGGGGATAGTCTGCGGCGGCTGGTTCAACCCCAGATCAAAGACGACTGTGTTTGCAAGCTGGGTGAAATGGGTTAGGAATGGGCGTTGGTGGACTTGGAAGTTGCCCCTTGAATATAGAGCGATCGTTAGCAGTGTCCGAGATAATGACCAAGGGGAAATGCTTGGTGTGGTGAGCGAGTACCATGCTATGCAGATGAGGAGGCCATGTAGGAGCTCCAGGCTTCGTTCTAGGTTGAGAACCATGCGGTGCGCTACTACACTCCGAATCTTATCGTTGAGTACTGCTTGTGGGAGTGTGTGGGCCTGGGAGACGGCAACGATGCAGAGCCAGAGGAAAGGCCTCTCTTGGCGCAGTGAGCTTGAGGATTGACCAAAAGAGGAAGACAGGAAGGGGAGGTGAGGGTGATGATTTTGGGTGAAGTCTAAAAGGATGCTGTCTTCGTTGATTGATGAGGAGAGCCCGATGACATATGAGAGTAGATCACTGTCGGCCTGCGGCGATGGCGTCACTGGCAGCGAGATGTTGTCTGAGGTCAACACTGATCCGATAGATTTTGCATGGGTATTGTTTGTTATTAGAGAGACCAAGCCATCAATCTTTGCTTCCAATTGACTGGATTGAGACGGCCCGTCGCTCGCCGTGCTCTTTTGCTTCCGCTTGGTGTTTGATGCGACGCATTCCTTTCCTAGGCGTTGACATCTGACAAGGGTGAGTCACCATATCCGATCGAAACAGCTCGGAAGTTACCTTTCACAGGGCGATCCAGGAGAAGTGGCGATGCAGCGGGATTCGTGCCGTACTGGGCATGTCGTTTACGGGATTGCATGTGCCACCGTGCGGGGCTTTTCTTCCAGTCCGATGCTAGTAAATGTTCTCGTGAGTCAATAGATGCGAGGATTCGTTAGCCGGAGACGGAGATGGCAACGGATCATGAGTGCAACTTATGAGTTGACGTTAGCGGGGCAGTGGAACTGAGAGCCGGATAGACCGGCATTGAACGCCGGAACGCCGACCGGAAACGGCATTCAATTCTCCGAAGGCCGCCTCGGCCTAGGTTCACATGGTGAAGTCGTTTCAGACCACAAACGTATATCTTCTACGCTCATTACCCACTCGTTCATCTAGTAAATTTCCATCATCCAAAGTATTTATTGAAACACTTCTTGCGATCTCTTTCTAGAGTCGGCACCGCACACGCAAAAGCCATGTCATCCTGGCAGTCCATCTCATTCTCATCGGCTGTAATCGTCGCCAGTGTCCTCACAGCGCTCTGCTCCAGAGCTCCAAATGAGGCAACAGATAAATGGGGAAAAGACCGTCTCGGCATTTGGGCAACGCCCAAAGCATCATTCGTGCGACGCGTTGTTACCGTGGCCATTGGCATATCCCACGCCGTTATAGCGTTCTCGTCTCCAACGACCAACTACATTTGCCGCAACCCCGAAAATGTCAATCGCCATCTCTTTACGTGGAACGGATACTCCACCACCTGCTTATTTCTCATCATAGGCATCGGTGCGCCCCTTCGCCTTCTAGCGTTCGCCCAGCTTGGGAGGAATTTCACGTTTCAGCTCGCTAAGCCAAGCGGGCTTACCACGACGGGGGTGTATCGGTATATCCAGCATCCAGGTTACACCGGGCAAGTGCTTGTTTTGTTGGCGAACCTAGCTTACTTGTTCCGCTGGGATGGAGTTGCCGGGTGTTGGATTTCCCAAAGCTTGCGGGCCCGGTTGGATGGATGGGGTTTGGTTTGCTATGGTGTCGCGGCCTTGATTATAATGAGGAAGGTTTTGGTAAGGGTACAAGACGAGGAGGAAATGTTGAAGAAGACCTTTGGAGAGAAGTGGGTTCGATGGCATTCTGCGACTAAACGATTTGTTCCTAGTTTGATCTAACCTTCTGGTCGCACATTTTTGCTTCCTTCTAGCAGAACCTTTATACCTACTGCGCTTGGCTGGATCTCATGGCTCTCTGTAGAGGCCAGACTACTAGTTTGACGACGAGCCTTGGACTTGAAGCCGTTCCCTTACTGCGGACTTGAGGCTCTGCTTCAGATCTCATTTGGCTTTGTCGACAGGCTTGACTCAGTATGTGAATCTACTTGAGCATAAGACAATCTGATGTTGTTCAATCTACCGAAGCTTGGCACGACTTTCTGTTGAGGATCATGTCAAAGTTCATTGCAGGTACAGATCCGGATCGTCCTCGCTTTCGTCCGCTGAGCTAAGTTTGGCGCTGTTGATATGGACTTCTCCATTCACATGCTCCATCTCCTTGCCCATTCCGTCGTCTATCCTGCCCTCAAAGATGTCCTTGACTGACGCCACAAGAAGCTTCCCCACCAGGTCCTTGTACTCGCGGTCCTCACGCAACATGTCAAATACGAGTTGCTTTTCCTGGCGATCGAGCTCCTCTCTTTGGCGGCGTATTTCTTCTAACCCAGCTGCCGCACGATCTTCCAACACGTTCTTGCTCATTTCCATGGCTTTGATCTTATTATCCAATTCCGACTTTAACTCTTCTAATTGAGTTGCGCGAGAGACATCATTGAGAGCCTCCGCAAGTCCCACCGCCGACTCTAGGAGCCGACTGATACCGCGAGCAGTGGTGCGTAGTCGGTGGACGGCGGTATGTCGTAGTTGGTGAGTCGAAACCAATGCAGACTGGACAGTTACTCCTGACAAACCCTGGGGGAGCTCTTTGCGGAGGATTCTGGCCCACTTGATTAACTCTACCGCGGATGCGCAATCCCATCCTCTCTCACTAAGGGCGTCCGGAATGGTTTTGCTAGCGAAATCAAAGCAACACTCTTCTAAAACCGTCTGAGCCGTAGTCAGAATGGCATGTTGTGTACTGTACGGTACGTAAGACGGGTACAGCGATGGGATGGATGATTTGAGTGAGGTAGATACTACAGCAGTTTCTGGGGCCATTGTGTTAGAAAAGCTGAACTAGCTGGATCGAAGGGCTTCCGACCAACCTTTAATGCTCGCTTCATCCTTCAGCGGTCTTGTGAGAAATTCAAGCTCATTCGCCTCAGGAATCTCTTCATCCTCTTCGAAGCGCGCGATCTCACTAAGGCAATCCGCAACTGATCTTGCCGCATCCGCTTCCGATGCTTCTCGCTGGGCATCCTGTTGCGGGGATGTCCTGAAAAGCTCAGGAAACTCGACTTTGGCTCGGAGGTCTGACTCGAAAAGCCGATTCTCCAGCAAATGCTTCACTATATCTGCGAGCTTGACTTCGCCAAATTCCTGGAAGACATTCTTAAGAGGGCCGCGATTGTGAAGAAGAGTTTCTTTGATTTTCTTCGGCTTGCGAAAGAGAGCGGCATCGCCACTGAAGATTGCCCGGCAGGTCCGGTAGACTCGTTGACGCTCCTCCAAGGTGTAGGACATTGTGGAAAAGGGAACCAGACACCGAGACTGTGATAGATCTTCCTTGATTGAACCAGATCTGTGTTTTAATACATTTCTTGCCAAAGTTTTGCAAGTTACCTCCCGGGAATTCCAGTGTGGATGTTGTCTCACTTTGGTGGAACGCCTTGTCGGCCTCCTGCAGCTGCAAGGGTCATGTCTTAGACATTGAGTTTAAGCGCGCTCGTGAAAATACCGACTTCAGCGCATTCTCCTAATCCTACCTCTGTACCATTTTTCTGATGTTGCTTACATGTATGCAACCCTTGGATACTTTGTTTGGATGCACCGTGTGGGTTAAGTCGTTCATACGCAGGGATTCCAAGGTTTGTGTGAGCGCTGAAGTTCTCAATAATGTGGGTTGCAACGAGGATGATGGGTCTTTCTTTTTAAATGATGAAGCAAAGCATCTTCGATATAATCTCGAGGTGAATTGCCACGATGATCTCAGATGGAAATCTACAATGATTCTTTTCAGAATAGAAGTGGACCGCTTGCCTCATTTGTACTCATAGCAAAAGGGTCCCCCCTGAATGTCCATCACTTCAGCAACAGTCATATTCCCACTGAAGTTCGGGAAAGACAACGGGTACTGCAGAGTGATGTTCTCGTAGGCGACATCTCCAAAGAAGTTGAAAGGGTAGGCCCATATAATGTCGGGTCCGCCAATGTCCATCTTACGAGCTGGCCAGTCTATGGGAGTACTGCTGTCAGCAAAGTGTCTTCAATTAGTGTTGGGAATTAAATATGAAAGTAAGGTGATGACACACGGGGGTCCAGCAAGCAGAAGGTCACCTACCCATGCGTTGCCACTCATTCCAGATCTTGTCCAGAGCGCCGTGGATGAAGTAGAAAACGGGATCGCCAGGCGACGAATACATATCAGCAACCTGTCGGACAATCTCGAATTAGCTCATGAAAGTCACCGGCAACCAGTTGGCAGTTTCAGTAGGTATGGAGAGCGGCTTACATCCCCAACTGCACCGCCGATTCCCAAGTGCATCCCTGCGTGCAGTGTCATGCCGCTAACCTGCATACTGTATCCCTGAATATGCAAGTTGAATTCGTCAAATGAGGTCGCGGACAGGGTTCGGTTGATAACTTCATCACTAAGAGCGCCCGTGATAATGGGTAGGCTGAAATCCCGGCGGAGGCAGTGTGGCGTGGACTCAACCGAATAACCTGCATCGCGTAGGTAGTCAGCATTGTCAATACCGGTGACTCCATCTCGAAAGGCAAGCGGAAATATGTACCGAGGCCCATGGGTACGGTGATGTTAGCGAACGGTCCCTCTTGGACGCAGCCTGCACCATCAAGTTAGCTGATGTTTGGCGAAGAATCAAGGTGAACTTGCCGCCACCAGATCTCTCCGGGATCTCAATCGGTTTCTGAACGGGGAAGTCCTCCGGATCGGTAATATTTGCGATGTACGGCCCATTTCCTCCGACACCGTAAACGTTATCAAAGACGGGTGACTTGGCGAAGCCCTCGGCGGTGTTGTCTAATCCCATATCCCAGTACGGAAGGGTGCCTTTGAAATCACATTTGGTGCGCAGCTCTGACTCGAAGAGATACAGCATCCAGCGATGCCATCTACTATTCATTAGCCACGAGGCCCATACTGACTCCCTTAGGGTTTGTGAACTTACGGAAGGAACGGTCCCTATTATATGGTTCAATCAGCTTACTTCCTTCCAAACTATAGGTTTGATAGCATGTTGCCTCCGGCGTTACTGACATTGAAATGAACTTGCTTGGTCATGTAAATGTGCATTCCCTGGAAGTCGTCGTATCGGGACTTTGCCCCGGGCCACAAGTCGTTACCCTCGGACGGAAGGGCCATCAGACATTTTATAGAATCGATGTAGTCCAGCCTCTGTTCCAAAGACAGCTGTCGCCATTCGTGTCTGATGAGAGGATCGGCGCAAGCTTCGACATTCGTGTTGTTGGCGGGCGCGGCGGCAGCGCTGAGGAAATGGAGGCCCGCGACGGCCAAAAGAGCTAGAGAAACAGACCTCATGACGGAAGCTAGGCTTGAGGGAGCAATAACTTTGTTCCAAAGACTCAATTTTCAAACAGAAGTTACGGTCAGTGAAGAACTGGAGAAAATTCCGCCTTATATGTGGACGTCAATACTCGACGCAAATTCTTCCGGCATGCGGCTTGGCTGCATGCCATCGGGTTGTGGGATGCAACGTTCGCCAACAGCTCATCAGCTTGGTATCATCTCCACCTGCACGAGCGGGCTCGTAACCGTTTTTAGGAAGTCGGAAGGGGCTTCCAGCTGCACGTTGGTTCGTCCGCGTCCGCCGCCTGCCAGATATTTCCAGAGAGTCGCACGGCTTTGAGAGCTTACCATGGTGTTATTTCTTAAGTTCCCATCGTTCTGGAAACTCTAGAATAATGCCCACCGCACCAAAACTGAGTCACCCGTTGCTGCCGACGAGACAGACGAGCTAAATAGCTGTCATGCAACAACGGATGACTGAAGGTGACTTCCCGAGACCAGCCGGCCAGCCGACCGGGGTCCGCGCCTTAGCGTGCGGCGTCGAAAAAGAGTAGAGACCCGGTCCCTGCTAGCGCTCCCGGGGACAGCAACTGTCTAATCATGGCTTGTTCATCCCAACTTTGTGGATATTGATCTGACCCCATGTAAATCGATCCCCTTACCCAGTCATGTTGGAAGAGACGGGGTTGTGGTCATGATGTTGGTTGTCTGCAACATGGGGCATATTCATAGGCGAAGATGCAGAATGCAAGCGGTCCTATCAAGTATTGGATGGAAGCGACCTGCCCGCCCGGGCTACGTTCGCAAGGGTTTTGCTTGGGTTGCAGGGCCAGCTAACTATTGATGTTGGTCCAGTATTGCATCCGTGTTTTTCATTCACGGTTATCGAGAACATCGAAAAGCCCCACGATAGCATTCCTACGATTCCTTGGCAATACAGGACAGCCACCAAAAGGTGTGCGGCAAATATGATGTCACAGACACTTCAGTTTAGCTCTTCTTCAGACTCGATAAAAGTTTGTCTGACCTTGACGACCCTCAGGACTCGACTCTGACAGCACTTTGAATTCTTCAACCTTCTCTCGGTGGTCCGTGTGCTTATGGTGGATGTTGTGAGTAACCAACCAGAGAACTCTTAGTCTCAGAGAAATGGGTACAGTTTTACCAGCGCCCGGTCAACTCTCTACCCTCGATGGAAGCAACGGCTCAAAAGTACAGACAGTTTCCATGTCTCAAGGTTTCAACGAACCTCAATCACGCACTTATACCGCTGAACCCAGACATCTTTCAATCTATTCCGCTATCTCAAGACATAGAACGGGAAAGACATCTTCATATTGAAGGGAGTAATTAGTTGTGGTGTTGTGGAGAGGGAGTTTCCCCGGCAAGGCAACTCGCGCCCTCTACCACATAAGTAGCCATAGAGGTTTCTCTACGAAGCCTAGGTTATCCTAGCCCTAGGACTTTTCCCGGTTAGAGTTATCCAGTAGCCACAGAAGTGTGCCTACAGGCAGCAAACGTCTATAAAAGGGTTTAGAAGGGAAGGGAATCTTGCAGCCGCCTCTTCCCATCTCCATACTCTCCACCACCAACATTGTCTTCGCAACCCCCGCCAACATGCATCTCTCATCCGTGATTCTCGGAGCCTGTCTCCTCGCCATCGGCGCAAACGCCGATCCCGTCAAAGGCACAATCTTCTACGGCGTAAGTCGATCCCAGACTTCCCCTTCCTTCCCAAGCGGCAGGGGAACGACCCCCAAAAGCGAAAGAAACCTCAGACTGACATTCTCCCAAACCACCAGAAATGCGACAAACAGACCAACATGTGCGTCATGATAAACACGCTGAGGCCAGACACGAACTGGTCGCTGCCTTGCAAGTATCTCGTACGTCACCCTCACAGAACAAGAAAAGCAGCAACCCACACACAAAACCCAAACTGCTACCCCCCCATCCCCTACCTACCTCGTCTGTATCTCCCGAGGGAGAAAACCGATCTCATCTCCCTCGAACATTCACATCGCTGACGCGCCCCACCCCAAAACACAGTGCCACGTAGACGGCGCCGACTGCTGGTACGCGACCGACCGCACCGTCAGCGGCGTGCGCTGGCCCCCGTCGACGGACATGGTCTCCTGCAGCAACAACAACATGCCCCAAGGCCACAAGCGACCTTTAATCTTCCCGGATCCTGAATCGTTCAGACCTTTTTTCAAGCCTTTAGAGAACTTCCCGGACTTGTGAGTACTCGGGCACTGGATCTTATGCGATGACCGTGTGCTAACTTCTTCAGCTCCAAATTGGGGGGCCGACGAGCCGTGAAGTTTAAGGCTTGAAGCGTGCGATCGATGGAGTAGATGGATCAGGGGGGTGTTTTCGGCGCCGTGCTTGGAGAAGAGTGGAAGGGAGCCATCGGTGCCGATAGCTGAGTTTGGAAAATTGAAATTCCCGGGTGTGTTTGGCGTTCAGGCAAGCAGGGTATTGAGTAAGCTCTCGTTGGGCTTGAGTCCCTGGCTGGCTTAAGACAACTAGGTTCACAAGCAAGGCACACCGCCGACCATAGAAAACACAGAGGTAATTTCCACACAGCCTTGATTCATGATCCATGAGTCATATTTGTCTTCTGCGTAATCTATCGTGTATGTCCCCAGATATCGGGCTCAAAGAGATTAATCGTTGTTTTTAACTATTGCGCGAGTGACACAGCTCATGCGTCTTGAACACCACTTCACTTCCGCCTGCTTATTATGTGGTAAAGTTTGTAGTGGCGGAGGAAGTACTGGGACGCTGGCGAAATCTTTTCCGGAGCCTTTAGACTGTCGCGAGGAGACAGGACTTGAAGGCCAGTCGGTACTCACGACTCAACATTCCCGATGGGCTACAGCGCCGCGAACTCCCTCACCTCGATTTGGACTATCGTTTGTTGATAAATTATGGTGATGATATGCATCTCATATCGGCCCGTAAAGCTCAAATACCTGCCTCCGCGGCCACTTCACCATCTCCAGCAACGCAGGATGCTCCGCCAGAACAGTATCCGTAACCTCGAACAGCCTCCGACTCCACCCCTGCAAGAACCAATACCTCTGCTCCAACACGCACAGAGGGATCGCAAAGTACGACAGAAGCACCATACTGAACGGGTTCTGCGCCTGAATATCCGCCATGAGGTTCTCTGAGATGACGTAGGGCCAGAAGAGAATCATGCCCACCTCGACGTTGGTACCGGCATGTGCCATGAAGTAGATGGCCTTTTCGAGCTCCTCTACGGCCTTGAGATACTCGTCGCGGCAGTCTTCGCTGAGGGTTTCTTGGAAGAAGGTTCCGAGCTCTGTAAATGCTTGAAAGATGTCGGGGGGTAGGGGCGACAAATGCATTGGTGGATTTCTATGGACTACATGTTAATAGGTCTGGTGTATCGGAGGTGTTCGTGTCGGGGTCTACGCTTGCCTGTAATTGACATCCTCGGGGTCTATTGTCCAGATACCGTGCACCAAGGCGGCAAACTTGGTTTTGGTCAGGCGTCCCTGATATGGCTCGAGCACCGCACGAATACCCCTCACAAACAGAAACAACTCCAAGATATTCGGAATGGTTTCCGTTTCGTTCCCCATGCGCACGGGTACGGAGGACACGTACATGACTACAATGGAGGCGAAGCTGAAGAACGTTTGCCAGTTGGTGTCGTTGATGTTGTGCAGCTCGGACCGGAACCCCTCGAGGCCAGCATTTTGGTGTGCCGTTGCGAGGTCAAGATACGTCTCCCGTTCTGGGGGTATCAAGTACGCCTTGTGTAAAGCAGACAAGGTGAGGATGCCGTGCATGACGAAAGGGCACGCGTACCCGATTTCCGGGAGATTCACGCGCCACACGTACTGCATGTCAGGACGGACGGCTAGTGAGTCGGCGGTGGCTAGTGTGTAGTGGTGCATGAGCTCCAAACCGCGACCCCAGATTTCAATGGTGGGTGCTGATGGGATCATGCGGGTACGGTCTGCCACCATGTCGAGGAAGCCATATTTAGAACGGGGGCTTGATCCATCAGCGGAAGACGGGGCGTGTGGCCGTTGGGGGTTGATGTCGCTGGGAGAGTTGCGAGAAGTTGATAGGCTGCAGACTATGCCATGTCTGGAACAATTGAAGCAAGACGGGTATGCCTCGTCGCACTGGAGCAGTCAGTGACACCATGCTCCATTGGCTCGATAACATGAGAGTGGCGCCAGGGCGGGCGCAGCGAAATAACGTTGCCGCGTGTTCATCGCGTGCAGTGGTATTGACCGGAGCCTAGGGGTAGACGTCGCTTACCTTTACTTTTCTCCGTTTGCAGTCCCTGCAGCCGTTGCGACTCTTTGTATGGGATCGTCGAGTTGCCATTGGTTCGGTGGGGGCTGGCGGCCAATACCTTAAGTAGGAGGGTGTTTGTCTGATGTTTCGGACGGGATCTATCCACGCAGCTAATCTTGACAGTTGACAAACCGCTACCAGAGGTGTGTCTTGGTGAGAAGAAGGACGGCGGATGGCGTACGAACCCGCGGGTTCGGATCGAATAAGAGGAATCTTGGTGGCCATCAAGCCAAGGAGAATGCGAGTATCAAAGATGAAAACAGCGGGTCGATACGAGACAAAAGCGAATACTCGCAATTGCGGGGCATCTCTCCTTAGTTCAGCGGGTCTCCCGACGCTTGTCATGTCCCCGAAGGTCCAAAACCATGGGCATCCCGGTCAACTCGTCAGCCCTTGCGCCCGTAGTGTTGCCCAGCCGTACTCCGGGTGCCGTGATTGGTTCCGTATTTCGTACACTAGCTGTACGGTTGGAGGCTCCATCTGTCCCGACTCTAATGATACAAATACTCCGGATCGCGGGTCCTCTGTGGCGCAGTGATACTCGGATCTCACTTCATTGGAGAAAATTGTCCGTCGCAGGCCCCCAAGACCTGCCGTTTGCTGAGCAAAATGTCAATTCTTTGGCTGACAACAGGGCGAATGCAGTCCTTTCGATGGACCAGACTTGGCGCGTCCTCCTCAGGAGGGCGCAAGCATAACAAACGACCGCCTACTGAGAGATAGAAATATCCCCAGCTTCCTCCTTGTTCATCGGTCAAACAACTTCTCGACATCAGCAAACTACTCAGAGAATAACACCGACATTCCTTACCAATACTCGTCCTCGTCCTTTGCCGTTGGCTGCCTTGCCCGAATCGATACGACGACAATCTTTGCCAAGAGACCGATTTCGAAACCACGACAATGGCACGAGCGTGCAATCCCGACTATGTCAACGCACAATGGGCCTTCTACCGATTTGAGCCCTCGACGGCGGCTGCGATCTTCTTCTGCGTGGCCTTTATCTTGACTACTGCGCTGCACCTATTTCAGATGATTCGCACAAAGACGTGGTACTTGACTGCGTTTGTCATTGGCGGTTTCTGTAAGCTTGCTTGCTGTTGAATGGGAGAGGACATCTCCAGTTGGGTCGACGAGCTAACAAGGATGATTTTGCAGGCGAGTTAATCGGCTATGCTGCCCGCGCGAAGAACACGATGGAAGACCCTGGCTGCTGGACCCTCGGACCGTACATCATCCAGAACGTCCTGCTCCTGATTGCTCCGGCCTTGATGGCAGCCTCGATCTACATGATTCTCGGTCGGATCATCATGTTGACGGATGGAGAGAGCCATGCGCTGATCAAGAGGCGCTGGCTCACCAAGGCTTTCGTCTCTGGCGACGTGCTGTCTCTGCTTCTCCAATCCAGTGGTATGTATATCCAAGCCCCAGCTTGACAAAAGATGCTAATGACCGCAGGTGGTGGAATGATGGCGGCTGCCGGAGAGGGCAACAACTTCATGGAGATTGGCGAGAAGACCATCATCGTCGGTCTCTTCGTTCAGCTCTTTGTGTTCGGCTTCTTCATCGTCACGGCCGCACTCTTCCATCGTCGCATGGCTCTTGTGCCCACAGCCAAAGCCCACCAACCCGAGATCCGGTGGAAGTACTACCTCCTGACGCTGTATATCACCAGTGTCCTGATCTGGGTGCGAAGCGTCTTCCGCGTGATCGAGTACCTCCAGGGCAACAAGGGAGAGCTTATGACGACGGAGGTGTACATTTACATCTTTGACGCGACGCTCATGTTCCTCGTCATGGTATGGATGAACTGGTTCCACCCCAGCGAGATCGGCCTCCTGCTCCGTGGCGAGCCGCCCATCAAGAACGGGTTGGAGCTGATGAAGATGGGTGGCAACTTCCGAAAGATGCAGCACGAGAACAGCAGCATGAGCGTGTAAGCTTGTCGGGCATCATCGGGGAATAATGGAATTGACGGGTGCTTGTCGGCAGTATTGATCAGGATCATGGGCGTTTGCTGGTTGGGGAGAGTTGTCAACAAGCCAGCCCATGCAAGAGGAGTTCGGGGTAGCAGTCTCACCATTCTGCTTGAGACATTTCTTTTGTTTGGGATTCCCGAGTTTGGGATAGAGATTTGGTTTGTGATATCTAGAAGGGCGGGCTGCGATACGGCAGACCGCATGGAATGACGGGAGCTCAATGATGGAATTCGGCATCAGCGCCATCACGGCCTGCGGAAGCGCTCCATAATATCGATCGGATTTCTCGGCCAACGCTGCCCTTCTTTCGGTTGACGTGACACAATTGACGGAAAGATGGTTGTTCATCTGCAATGGAATACTGTAGAATGAGGTCGGAGTAGCAAAAAAAGACCAGCCATCCTGGAAGTGAGCCAGGAACATGTTGGCTCGAATGGTTCCTTCCCCAATCTTCGAGATGCAGCCCGAGGCTTATCGCCACAGTCAACAGGGGTTCTTGTCGCCGATAAGACAAGCGAGGAAGCGCACAGACCACACCTGCCCACTGCGGGGTAGGGATCTGCAGGACGACAAGGGCGGTTACAGCGCCGGTCGCTGAACTGACCGACTCAAGCTTGCTGATTGGTCGAAGCTTCGGTGTGCGAGTGCCAACAGCAGCTGAATAGCTGTCACTCCCGCCAAAGAAAACCCACGGCAGCCTGCAGCTGCCTGCCTCACCGGTTGGACAAGGACACTCAGCCTGAGGCGCTTCTTTGCGTCCCTCCGCCTCCGGGTCAAGGCAGGCAGACAGGACTGGACTGGACCAGAATCCGCCTCCTTCTGTCCGCGTCACCGCTGCTGACTTGGGCACCTGGAGGGACCAGAAAGAGCCACCTATTCAATTGCCCTGACGCACTTTTTCTGCCTTCCACATCCTTGCTTCAGGGACTCCCTCCTTGTTTCCGTCCCATCTCAACTTCCCCGCCCGACCAGGTGCCACATCACCGATTCAGAACCTACCCAAACTTCCACAACTCCAAACCATCACCCTCCATCTTCACGTCCATCGGCCAACGTCCCAGCGACCATCCTCGGCGCCAACGGCCATCATGGCTTCGCGCGAGAGCTTCGGCAGGATTGGCTCGGACGACGATTGGGAGGAGATTGCTGACAACTATTCCGTCAAGTCGTTATCCTCCGACGATGAAGAAGACGAGAAGCCCGCCGCGTCTCCCGTCCCGACCCGATCCAAAGTCGAATCTTCTCCTCGCAGTCAGACGTCTCCAACTCGACATGCACCCCAAGTCAATGCAAACCACGATGCGAACGATGCGAACATGTCCAACCTAGGAGATGCCCTATCAGCGGTCGATATTGGCAGTCAGTCTGCTCCTAGACCGACCAGCCCCGTGTCCGTGGACAAGATGGCAGCGATGAAGACCGCGTCCGCATCGAAGCCAAAGGCCCCGCTGCCGCCGAGCCAGCAAGATGTAAGACAACCTACCGCATCGTCTCCCCGGGAAGACTCTCAACGGCCACAATATCCCCGTGCCCCCACGTCAGGAAACGTCCATCGATACACGAAAGCACCAGCCGCGGCGACAGATAACGCCACCTTTTCCTCTTTCGCATTCCCCGACGAAAAAACAAGACGTGCTTACATGCTTGAATGCGGTCCTCCTCTCCCTAATTCTGCTCGAGCTCCGCGAAGTCGACCTACAGTATCGAGCACATGTGCCATTGAACATAAGAGACCAGAGGATATCTTCACACCACAGTCCAATGGCTCAAAGACATCTGATGTCAGCAATGAATCAACCTATCCTATCCTGCCGTACAATGATGCAACCCAGGAGTTGGGCAGCTGGAAACAGTCAACAATGGGCAAAGTCACTTCCACTCCTCTCAAGAATCTGAATCCCCAGGAGTCAGGCCCCAGAAGAGGCGCGAAAGGCGCTCCGAGAATCGGCGCCATGTCATTGGAAGGTTTTACTGAACAAGAGCGAAAGCCGAAAGAGGTGGTCTCGCAATATGGAGCGTCCTTTGGTGCATCGACCCATGACACGGTACCAGTATCTCTTGGCGACACACTGGACCTCGACGAGACCTCCACAGATCCCATCGTCATCGACAATGCCCTACAGTCTCTTTCACGCATGCTACGAGACACCAGCCCAGCACTTTGCATAATGCATCTGAAGCATGCGACGAAGGTCCTCCCTGCTTGCAAGTCTCTTCTGGCTCAGGTTGACAGTCTCACGCCCATCCTTGCCGCCTATGCAGCAAAGTGCAATCAACCCACTACCACGGCGAGAGACGTCCCGCTGGATGCTAGTCTGATGATGTGGATCGTTTCACTCAGCCGCACTTTGTGGGAGATTGGTTTTGAATTCAAGATCGTCGAGTCCAACAATCCTGGCTCAAGCAGTCCAAAGCGTGCTCCTTCGCTTGAGACATTGGTTGGTGAGCTTGAGAGCGCCGCGAAGCAAATGGACGAATTTCTCCCCATCATTCAAGCGTAAGCTATCATTTCATACACCGCGTCGTAGCTTATTGGCTAACCCTGGGCAGTGATTTCGCCGAATTTCAGAAGAAGCCAATGTATGTTTTCCCTGGTATCACAGCGGCACCCGCACCCAAATACGAGATCGAAACTCCCAATGACTATCAACGACCTCGCATCCGGCAGACTATGTATGGCCTGAAAAAGGAACTGCAGCATGCCATTTCCATCCTGAAAGACTGTCAGAGATGGCTTCCTGACGCTGCCAAGGTTATAGTGGGTGATGTTACTAATGGCATGGGCATTCTTTTCGATGTCGTTGGCGGCATCATGGCCAGCAATGGTCCGGCGTGGATAGAGGGCCTTACGTCGGAGACTGAAAGGCCCAGACTCATCAACTACTCCGAGTTCGGAAACCTGGATCCCATCGTAATCGAGGACTACAGCGCTCGCATCCAACAGATATGCGGCTTGGTTCACATTGACGCAGCTGAAAGCCGTACGTGGTCCGAGGAAATGATTCGGGAGCATCACGTTTGCATGCTCATCGAGCAACAACAAATCGACTCGTTGGAGCACATTGTTTCAGTCTTGAAGGGGATGCTGCTTCGTTAACCGATGCCAAGTCCCGTACGGAATGGCTTCGCATAAGGCTGGAATCGTGTTGATGGTAAGTCGAGTCTGAAACACCCACTTTACGGAGTCTCTGGAGTTTTCTTGCTGGGTATGAAAAGGAATTGGTCCTGCACAACTCCGCTCTTGGAACAAAACCGCTGATGAATCATGAATTTCATTCCATGTTTGGGATTCGGAAAAGATTACGGTATTGCAGTTGACAGAAAATAGGCAGTAAAGTAGTTAGGTATCGGTCCCAGTCCATAGCCTAACCAGGATAATTATTTATGGAGTTCAACTTTATCACACGGATTCACCAACCCCTGCTGCTTCGGGCTTCTCTCTTCTGAATTAAGTATTAATGGTCATATCAGGAGCCCCTGCACCTTGTACGTGGAACAACATCACCTATTGGAATTGTTATTACCAAAAATCAAAATCGAAAGGCCTATCTACCAGGATATATTGGTAATACTTAGGCATCCTCGGCAATGTGACACCCCTTTTGACATGATGAATACCAGGTTCTTCCTTAATGTTGATTGAGAGTCAGGCGTAGTGTGCCTCAAGTGGACGAATGTAGATAGTGCGCTAGCTGCATATGCATAAGCATATGCATAAGCATGCTTTGAAGCCATTTTCAAACACTTTGATCAACATCCGAGTGAGAGCGACGGACTTTTTATGTTCCTCAAACGTAAATCAGAACAAGACCCCTTCGTATATGCAACAGCTTCCCCGTGATCGTCAACTCCATCCGTTGTAGCCATTACGTGAACGCGGCTTGCGACCTGCCGTTGCTGGATAGCGCAGACCTGCCAAGCGCGCCCTTTGAACATTTCACAAGGTCACGCGTTTCGAAACGCGGGGGAGACATGTTGCATAGGGGCTATCGATCTGGTTGACGTTGGATTAAGGTATGCAAACCGGCATGACTCGCGGCTGCTGCCGCACCCCCTTTCCAAACTCACCCTCGTCCGTCTCCCGTGCCGGCCGGCAACTCTCCCCCTCCCGTCCTCTCATCGGGGAACGATTAGCAACATCTGCAGTTCGGTACCGGCGTTTTCTCACACCACGAAACATCAGTCACACCTCGGAAAGAGAGGAAAAATCGAATCGGCCTTCTGACCGTGGGACCGTGGCGCTTGCCATAGTGCGCGCGCCCCGTAGATCCCGGAAAGGGGTCCAGAGCGGGCCCCGCCAAGTGGATTGCAAGACGTAACGAAAACGCCGAATTTTCGCCCGCCGTCTGATTTTGTAGCGGAGGTTCCAGATGCAGTAGCACCTTGTTAAATTTTCAATTCAGTCATCGTGTCAGAAAAGTCTGGCTCCGACAATGGGGTCATCCCATGTGTCCAGGTTTTTCAGCGGTTTGGGGTGGCGTGGGAAGACGGAAGAGCCGTGAGTCAATGGGTGTGGTGTGGGTTGATGATGGGAATGTGCTTCCCTCTTAAAATGTTTACCCCCTTCCGCCCTTCTGCCACGAGTGCCGACGAGAACCGCTCAAACGCACATCAGAAGGACCAGAGAATCCGGGGCCCCTCAAACCTAAATCATCCCAATAGGCTTGATTTCCCGATTTGCTCCACAAGCCGCTCCCCGAAAGCTGCATGTCGGCCTGAGTCCCTCTTTGTCCTGCCATCTCATCGGATCGCTCCACCGGACGCGAACAGGTTCCACCAACAACACCTCTCAGCTTTGAACCTGTGAGGGGATCGTGAAGCCATACAAGTTGGCCAGTCCACATCACTCGGCTTCATACGATCTCTTTTCCCGGGAATTCAACATGGGAAAGGACACAGACGCCACGAGGGCGCCCGTCGACCCTGAGAGCCAGGCCAAGGCCGACGCGCCAGCTGGCTCCAAAGTAGTCCAGGACCAGCCACCGGCCTTCTCCTCGTCGAGCCACATCGGCGGTGTGGGCGAGAACGACGAGGGCGAGTTGATCAACTTCAAGACCCTCCACTGGCTGTCAGTCCCTCAAACCCTCCAACCTTCCCACCCCAACTAACTCTCCCCAGACAAGGAGGCATCGTTCTCGTAGCAGAGACCGTCTCCCTGGGCATCCTCTCCCTCCCCTCCGTCCTCGCCACCGTCGGCCTCGTCCCGGGCGTCATCCTCATCTGCACCATCTCCGCGCTGGCCACCTACTCGGGCCTCCTCCTCGCCGAGTTCCGCAAGCAGTACCCCTTCGTGCAGCACTTCGGCGACGCCGTCGAGCTCATCGGCAAGCCCATCGGCCTAGGCGGCGTCTTCCGCGAGGTCTTCGGCTGGGCGCAGACGATCCTGCAGGTCTTCCTCATGGGCGGGCACATCCTGCTCTGGACCATCTGCATGAACACGCTCACCAACAGCGCGACGTGCACCGTGGTCTGGGCGGCCGTCGGGATGGTCGCGTTCTGGATCTTCAACGTGCCGCGGACGCTAAAGTACACGAGCTGGATGTCCGCCGCGTCGTGCGTGTCGATTGTCGTCGCGGTGCTGATCACCGTCGTGGACGTGGCGATTGAGAAGCCGATTGGGGCCGGGTCGGTGGACATCTTCCGCAAGCTCGGGTTCTCGCCGGCGTTTCTGGCCGTGACGAATATTGCGGGCGCGTTCTCGAGCCATTCCATCTTCTTCAGCGTGATTGCGGAGTTTAAGAACCCGGACGACTGGCCGAAGGCGCTTGCGTTTTTGCAGATTACGGATACGACGCTGTATTTGATCTCGGCTGTGATCATCTACGTCTACGCCGGGCCTGAGGTCCCGTCCCCGGCGCTGTCGGCGGCGGGGAGTGCCACGATCCGGAAGGCGATTTGGGGCGTGGCGATTCCGACGATTGCGATTGCGGCTGTGATCTACGCGCATGTCGCGTCGCAGTACATCTTCACGCGTATCTTTGGTAACACGAAGCATGTCGTCAGACGGACGAAGCTGTCCACGGTTGCGTGGCTGCTGGTTACCCTCGGTATTTGGGGTATTGGCATGGTGATTTCGGAGTCGATCCCGGTGTTCAACAACCTCCTGGGTCTCGTGTCCGCGGCGTTTGCCAGCTGGTTTTCGTTTGGACTGCCGGGCATCTTTTGGTTGTGGATGCACTACGGCAACTGGTTCAGCAACTGGAAGCAGAAGACGCAGTTCTTCTTTACCTCGCTACTCCTGGTTGTGGGTATCCTGCTGTGTGTTCTGGGTCTTTGGGTGTCGATTGAGTCGATTGCGAGTGCTTCGGGTTCGAAACCGTGGACTTGCGCTAGTAATGCGGCAGAGTGAGACATCGTATGTAGTCGTGGAGATATCCGGCCTAGCGTCGCTTAGGCCCAATTGTGGCACGAATTTATACCACTTTGAGTAATTCACATTCCATAAGCAGTTTCTTCTGCAAAGTAATTATCGAATAGGACTGCAGTGTATACACGCCAATGTGGCGCAACACTCCCGAGGGCGAGTAAAGCGGTCCGATTCGTTATCACACCACATACATCATGCAGCGGCAGGGCTTATGGAGGCCTCCCGATTTTAAGCGCTTACCGCATACCACGTTCACTGGGCAGGTGGGAAGGACATAAGGCCCTGCTTTCCTCAACTTTTCACGGTGGAAAGGTCCATTCCAATATCAAACACGCCCCGGCTCGCGCTCCATTGCCCAGCTCAAAATCTCTTTGCACATCTTTGCCAGTGCCGTCTTCATTCTCAAAAATTTTCAACTTTGGCATGCAACAAGGCGAGAATGAAGGCAAGCCCATGGCTCGAGAGAAAGATGACACTGATAATTCGAAGCTCGGGAACAACGCTGACGAGGACGATGTCATGGTTGGGCCCGCAGCAACATATGAAGACGACGAATTGCCTGAAAATCTGTCGCTCGCTTTGAGTCAGTGGGCATCAAAACTCTGTCTCGTCTGTCGCAGGTTTCTTGAAGGAAAGACCTACCATGTGTTTGGAGACTACAAGGAATACATGTTTCACACTTCCCTGTCTTCGTTGCGAAGCTCCGTTCATTCTGGCTGTCCTCTTTGCAAACAGTTATCTGAATCCCTGGACAACTACTATTACAAAGGGAACGATTTGGGGACGCTAAAAAATTCAGGTTCCATCAAATGCACTGTTCGCCACGGCTATGGGGATTTCGTTCCATCAAAATCAGAAGTAGACTCGGTTAGGTTGACTTTCCGTCTCTTTGACGATGATGACTGCATAGTCTTTGTCTTCGAAACTTTATACCTGTACTCCGTAAGAGGCCTAGGTGGTCTGGGACCAGAGTTCTTGGGTGCGTCAATCGATACAATTCGGTATTCGTGGGAAGATGGCTAATGTTCACTAGACTTTACCTTGGAGACGAGCACTGCAAGATCGGAAGCAAGCGTCAACATGGTCCGGTCCTGGTATCAGCGCTGTACTTGTCGACAATGGCAATCAAACTCTCGTGTTCTTCCAACTCGCTTAGTCCGCGTCTGGAGACCCCATCAAGGAAATACAAACATACGTGCAAATCTCTGCGAAACGGACAGCTTACCGGTAACCACTCCATACGTGACGTTGAGTCATCGATGGGGAACCAGCCACTTTTTGAAACTTCAAAAGAGCAATCGTCGTGCATGGCATCAAGCAATACCAACCGATGGACTCCTTAACGTATTCAAAGACGCCATGTACATCGCTGTTGAGCTCAGCATTCATTACATATGGATCGATTCCCTTTGTATTATTCAGGACTGCCAAAACGACTGGGTGCACGAATCTGAGAGAATGGGAGATGTCTACCGGCACGGAGAGTTCAACATTGCCGCTACCGGTTATTATAACGGTGAACCGGGCTTGTTTAGCAAGAGAGATACAATACCATCCCAACACTTTCCGGTATATTTGAACTCCAAATTCGTCGACAGACACCATGTTGTTCAACACAACTTTAATGGCTTCTACATTAACGCAAACGAATTCGGATATAATGAGCTCATCGTCGATTCGCCGTTGAATTCCCGAGGTTGGGTAGCTCAAGAGCGGACTCTGTCACCAGCTATTGTTCATTATACGCCGAAAGAGGTTTGGTGGGAATGTAGCGAGATGATCGCCAATGAAACCATGCCCAGTGGTCTCGAAAACTGGAACAATGCCTCCAACTGGTCGACTACCCACCTTCGATCTCTGGAGGGCGTCAAGAAAGAAGAGATTCACAGCTTTTGGAGGCGGTTCATTCGGTTCTTCGCCAATACAAAGCTAACCTTCGACAAAGACCGTCTTCCTGCTGTGGCCGGAATAGCACGCATTCTGAGTGATATGCTCAACGAAAAGTACATTGCTGGAATATGGGAGAATGATATTGCCAGGTCCCTTCTTTGGGAGTGTATAAGCGATATAACCATCCCATCTACCCAGCTGGTGCCGTCGTGGTCCTGGGCATCGGTATGCGGCAACATTGGCGGGATCCACTTCCAACCCAGGTCGTCAGCGCAGGTCCTAAGCTGTGTTGAGATTGAAGCCCTGTTTGAAATCGATGGAATATCGTCAGACCTCGAACAAACGTCGCTCGAAAGATCTGGCGTCCGGGCTCTGTCAGTCCGAGGACCGCTAAGAAGATTGCCGCACGGCCTATCACGCGAGGTAAACGAAACTGTGTACTGGATCAGTGTGGAGGAGGATAAGAAATATATCATTCCCTGGGTTGAAGCTGGGGGTAAGGTCCCAGACGAATACGCATGGCGTCTGAATCCTTCTACACACCTTCTCCTACTTGCCAAAGACAGAAACATTGTGTCTGAGCTTCTGCTACAACATGTACCAGAGGCTCAAGAGTCCAATACGTTTCGTCGATCGGGACAGGTTGACTTTTACTTCAGGGATCTTAAGGTTGAGGAATATTTAGGCATCCTCCAAAAGGACGGGGAGTATCAGCCGAGCTTGAGATTTGCAGAAAGTGGTGTTCAAGATGTCATTCTAATTTAGACGAATTGAGCCTCTTACCTAACTCCCACACCCTAACCATCTGCAGGAAGATACTTAATAAGCCCACTTTGTATGAGTTTTACTTTCCGGGCGGTCAGTGGGCATAGACGACGACAACAATAGCGACGACGACGATGATAGGTATAGAGAGAGGGAGAGTGAAGAGGGATAAGAGGAATAATAAAGATAATTAAAACGATAATAATAGTAAAATTATTTAAATAAAATAGACTATTGGGCATGGTATAAGGGGTTATTTGCCCGGATAGCTAGAAGTGTCCGCGCAGATAGTAAAACTCCTTTATACAGAGGAGTAATTAAGGACTATCAGGACGTGCCTGAGACTTACATTAAACGCAACGCATTTTATCTAACTGTCAAATTCTCATGAAACATTCTCCGCGGCGGGTACGTGACCCCTTGCACAAAACAAACACTTCTCAAGAGCGTTCTTGTCCATAGCAAGAAGGATGCCAACTAGCCCACTTTATCGAGGACTAATCTAGCATAAGTAGCATCCGGATCAGAAGATTTGGTTCACAAGCCCTCCAGGCCGGGACTTTTGTTCAAATTTTGAAGAATGAACGTACAAGTTTACCGTAGGCAGCATTTTGGTTTGTGTGGTGAAAAGCCTGCGAATTCTGACTGCTGGCTGACGTCCACGTGGATGGACATAGAGCCATGACTCTCCACTCGATGGCGTTTGCTGACGGCTTGGCGAATGAAAAGGGTTGCATCCTGCTTGATGTAAGGTAGCGGAGACCTCCCGTTATCTGCCCAACCACGTGAGAAGGATCAGTGGGATCACTCGAAACCTCAGATGTCAGACGTCGTCTGCGATGTTTTTTTTCCCTTGTCTATCACCATGTCTGCAGCCCAATGTAAATCAAGAACAGAAGAACAGAGGAGAATTCTCACAGACGCATAGACGAGGCGACCATTCTAGCAAACTACCCAGCCCTTTTATCGTTCAGATGACAGATTCAGACAACGGCTGGTCGGCAGTTGCAGTCAACGAGAACGGTGAATCGATTCCTTGGGGGCTGTGGAACGTGCGGGACATGATACATGAAAATAGGGCCACCGGTGGCTGGGACTATGGTCGGCACTTGGATAACGACCAGCGCATGCATTGGCCTGCTGCTAGAAACACTGAAGGCCATGGATTGCACCCCAAAGCCCGACAGACTGCGCCGAGTCGCGGTCCGATCATTCCGACCCGATTACTGAACTGCAAAACGGGACTCGTCGAAGCGAGCCTGGAACGGGATCTTCCATATACAACCATCTCCCATGTATGGAGCGAGACGGCTGGAAAGGATTGGGGACAATTTGCCGTTCAATTGTGGATGAAGTACGGTGTCCAGTACATTTGGGTGGACAGCCTGTGCATTAATCAGGCTTCAGTGCAGGACAAAGCAAACGAAATTCCCAAAATGGCCGAGTACTACGCCGGGGCTGAGATGAACATCATACCCATGATGGCACCGGGGCTCAGACGAAGCCTTGACGACTGGTTGGAAGGTGGTGCCAGAGCCTCACAGCAGAATTTCTCTGAAGTTCTGAAGTTCATCCAGGCGCTCGTGGAGAATCCGTATTTCGAGAGAGTCTGGACCATGCAGGAGACAGCTCTGGCATGGTGCACACACTTAGAAACGACGGATGGAATCATATATAGTTGGGAAATCGACGAGGCAGTGAGGCGAGCATGTGGGATACCATCATACACACGGAGCCCAGAAGATCCTCCCACGTGCAGAGACACGGAGGCTTCTTCTGACCCCGGCGTTGGTCAAATCGACAATAGAGTGGTGTTATTCGACAATAGACACATCCGAGGGGCCCTTTCAACTCAGGCATGGATTGCTCGCAACAGGAGACCCTTGGCTCTGGTGTGGCGCATGGCGCAGAAAAGAAGATGTACTGTCGCCAAAGACGCACTTTGGGGGATGGTGGCAATGATCGAGGGAGGCGATTTCATCGAAACAACATACGAAGAACCTGTTGCTCAGGTACTTGAGGAGTTGGTTGAAAAGGGATTGCTCGGACTTGAGATCCTTTGCGTGCGAAAGACTATCGCTAGTCCCTCCTGGGTGCCGGCTCTTGAAAACGAAGTACCGCTAATGGGTGCTGAATGCACTATCGAACCAGCACGGCGGAAGGTCACGATCAGAGATGGGGGCATCGAAGTGAGCGCAAAGGAGGTAGTCGCATCGGATGTGAAAGGCGACTATTATGTTCGAATCGCAGACACTGACCACAGCCAAGAAATTGTAATGATGACTGAGGGATGGGACTTTGAGAGGAATAATCTGCCAGGTCGACGA